CTTTTTCTGGAGCTCATGGCTGTTCTTTAGCACTGATATTTCTCCAGTGGAGTCTCAGCCAGTGATCCAGTCATGTGTGCAGGTCATGCTGTTTAATAGTGGTTACGGGGCAGTTATGAACGCATTGGTTAGCCTGTGATTAATTGTGAGGTTTTTCTGGCTAACTTGTCAGATGCATTTGGCTACTAAACATGAAAATGCTCAAAATTTTATCTAATTCATTTGTGTTGGTATTTGAAACTCAACAATATCCTGTCCGTAATAATTCTAGATTGTAGCATTACTGATTAATATGTTCTTGATTAATGAAATGTATGTGTTTGGATTTTATCCTTTGTTGTGCTTAAATGTATATTTGACATTCCTCAGAAACTGGTAAAGGCCAGCTTTGATGTTTCATTGGCTTTTTATTAGCTTTACATTTAGATATCCAAAGTGTTATTTTCTTACTTTATCTTATCAGCAGTCAGAATAGGCTGGTGAACTCAGGATGATAAGATTAAATTATCTGTAGGGAGAAAATCTTGTAGATTTTGAGTAAGAAATAATACATACACTGCTTTTTGAATGTCACTGTTACACTTTCAGTCATATGCAAACCTAATGGTCTGCCTGTCTGTATCATTTTCTCCTGAGATGACAGCTTAATAGTTTTCCTGGTTGGATTGTGTTAAAACCTTTAAAGGCTGCATTCACTAAAACATATGTCCAACGTTTGGGCAGCCAAAGTCTGTGCAGTCATTTGAACGGAGTACAATTTAGCTCTGTATAACCACAGGTATCTCACTGTTAAAGCTACATTAGCATACATGTAATGAAATATCACACAGTACCCATAAATGTGTATAGTTTTTATGTTTTTACTTATTAGTTAAAAATAAATTTAGATTTAAAACAGAAAAAAATTACGTTAATGTGTCATTAGTTTGGAGTCTTATTTCATAATTAAATTGTTCTGTGATGTGCTGAAATATGGTTTTGTATTATCTTAAAAATATTTCATAACTAACAATAAAAATAAACTCAAAGACCAAACCAAAACAAACAACAACGACAGAACAGATTTTGCGAAGAAAGTAATAGCATAAATAATTTTTAAATAATGCCATGGATCGATCATACAGTTAAGTAATTTAACGTAATAGATTTTGTTCTGATTAATTCTCTCGAGTGCCTACCATGCTCATAGTGTTATATTAGATACCCTGCACAGGTAGCTTGTATTTACCTCTATGAATGAAGACATGAATGTAGAAAACAGACAACAGGGGAAATCCTGGACTGGCCAAGTGAGGTGCGAGTTCTCTTCCGTGTTCCACCAGCAGGGGGTGCCATGCCACGTCTGTTGTTGACAGAGTTGTGTGGTCAGTGTTGGGGTTTTGTTTGCTTCCCTTGTGTTAGGATGTTACGGATGCTCGATGGAAAAGATGACTGCTTGAGATGTTGAGAAAACTCCTAACCTTTCAGAACTGGAAAGTTTTCTTGACAGATCTTCAAAGCCCCTCCAGGGAACAAAGTCTTTTTGTGTTGGGGTAGAAGTCATAGTGACCAGTTACTCACAGTCCTAATCTTTAATTGGTTTAGCTTTCCTGGTGCCATTTGTCACCTCTAGCTCATTGGTGCTCCATCTGTTGTAGGCCAGAGTCCAGGAGCAGTTCTTAGTGGTAAAAAGTTGGAGAAGCAGATATTGGAAAATCCAGTCTTATGTGATCTTTCCTGGCTTTGATGGGTTCAGCTTCCATATTGAAAAGTTATTTAAACACTTTTAATTTCTTTTTCAAGTGGAGAAATACATGTATCTCAGAAGAAAACCTGAAAACTTTAAAAAATTATTGTCTTCCAAAGAAAATGAACTTTAAAATATTATAATCTTTATATCTATAGTTATTTATTTAAAAAAAGTTAATGGCAATTTCCATTGTAAAACACCATATTAATTTTTACTAAGTACATCAAATTGCTAAATTTGGTTAGAAAAATTTCCTGGCAGTTAGGCATTATTTTACCTAGATGTATAAAGATTAAAAATCTGTTAATAGTTGACAGAAATACTTAATCAGAACATCTAATTGAATCACAAAGATTAATTGAGAGAGTAATATTCTTTTTGGTTTTATAAATGTGTAATGGTCTCAATATGAATAAAGAGTTAATTTCCATAACAGTGCAGAAAAGCAATCTTTAGGAATTTTAGTGAATTAAATTTAAGAATGATAAACATATATCAAGCAGAATTTTTATTACATTGAACAGGCAGAATTGGAGAACTCTTCAGGCAGTTCAACTTATGCTAATTTGAGAGTATGACTGAAAATAACCAGTGTTACTTCTAAATGTTAGCATTTTGAAAATGTTGACCCAACATTTCTTTAGAAAATAAATTTTATTTTATAAATTTTAATACTTTTCAGATAATGGAAATTATTTTTAAGAAGAAAAACAAAACCTAAGTGCTTTCCAGTTTAAAAGAAACAGTGGATAGAAACTGCTGAGCATCGACCAGGGCACAGAGCAGTCTCTGTGACGGTCGTTGATGATCGTAATCACTTCTGACGCTTGGCTTCTCACACACTGTCCCTTTCACTTGTTTGTGTATGGTGGTGATTTTCAAGAATGCAAAGTGTGACTGCTTTGTGTTTCTTCTTTCCTTCTAGTTCTCGGTGTTTTAGAAGTTTCTGGACATGGGGGGCTGTTTATGATCCTGACGTGTAGCAGATCACAAAGAGAGCAGAAGGGGAAGACTGGCTCCCTGGGTTTTTAGTGCTGGAGTCGGGGACATTAGGATTTCCTTGTTTCTGAATCTCGTCTTAAAGGATTATTATTTTTTAAAAAAATCATTCTTTTTCTTGATATGATTATGACTATTGTCACATATATTTGTTACCTTAAATATTAATTCAAAGACTTTCTTTTTTAAAAATTTTACACTTACTGAGAATACTTTTAATAACCTAAAAATACATAAAGTAAAGAGTGAAATGGCTCTTTTGCACTCATCTGCCACTATCATTCCTCAGTAGATACCATTTTGAATAATTTGGAATGAAATGTTGTAGATGTTTATACATGTAGGCTCAGTATACATGTCGAAAAGATGTGTTTCTGATTGTCTCCATTGTTGTGATTTTTTTTTACAAAAAGAGATTATGTTGACCTGTAACTTCTCATTTTACCAGTTGATTTATTAATTAGGGGCATCTCTCCACATCCCCACTCTTTTTTCACGACCACATAATACTCCACTGCTTTGATGTGTTTTGGTCTCCAGTCTCCTTAGCCATTTCCCTGCTGAAGGACACTCAGGGCCCAGATACCATCTATGTACTTATGTCATGTTGCATGAATCCCAAACTCAGGAAGCTGTTGTCCTGGGGCATCTATGCTTAGCTTCACTCTAGGTTGCTTGTTGATGTTCAGGAGTCTTTCTAAATGTTTTCATTTGATCTTGGATATGCCTGAGCTTAGGTAAAAAGGACCAGTTCATTGTGTGGGCTTTTAGGGTAAGAGCTGCATTTTTATAGAAGTTTCTTATTTCTACCTGCAAGAAATTTAAGATGTAACATTTAGATGGATGTTGGCTATCCATTTATGTTGGCCATCCATTTATCCAACATCCTTTTATGTTGGCAGAGTTCTCAGTTTCAGAACTTTAATAAAGTTGATTGTCAAATCTGTTGTTTTAAAATTGATTAATCTTAAAGGCAGAACATCTTTCAGACAATGCTTTGAAGACACTTTTTTTCTTGATGTGGAGTATTTCTATCCAAGTCCGTATGTTAAGATTTAATTTGTGACTTTTGCAAATGGGATAATTATTCAGTCATAAAAAGCTAAATACCAATACTCCAGGGTTAGTATTTCATTGGACGTGGGGTGATATTCATTAAGGTGTTCATAAAATTTTATGTTCCTCAGTCACTATATACTTAGTAGACACGGTAACTTATTTTTGTCATGACTATTGGCCATATCTTGGGGTTTAACATCTGCTGGCTGAAACTGCTGCATATTCTGACTTCTAAACTATAATTGCCTAGAATGAATGAAATCTTTTATTTTAGACACAGTTTTGCTTGGAAGATTTCATTTCACATTCACAAAATAATAGCAGTGATTTTAAAAAAGGTGATAACAAATTGTCTGAAGTCTAGAGATAAAATCACCACTTCTCTGTGGTAATATGGTAATTGTTCAATGTATTTTAAGCAGTAACTTTTTGTTGGTGTTAATAGTTTCCCTCACAACACAGCTGGCATGCTGCTGGTGATATCATAGCTATACTTTTTGATTTATTATTGTACAGAATATATCGTGCACAGTGAGTAACCACATTGAACAACTAAGAATATATCCTTATTTTTTGTGACCTTTTTAATGTTACATTGGAACTGTGGGACTTTTTTCATGTTAATTGGAACTGTGGCCATTAAGCAGATTTTATTGCACGTTAGTGAAGAGAGTCAAACCTTTTTACTTTTGTAGTAATTTCTTATTGCTGTTTTTATGAATATCTTATTAGATTTTTTCCTTTGCTCCAAGTTTTTTATGCTATTTTTGCGTTTTGCTTATCCACATAATATATCCCAACACTCTTGTTATTTATATGCAAATATATGCCACCACATATTCCTTTTATTCTTAAGGTCATGTGAAGAAAAATAATTGATACTAAGATATGAAAACCTGGAATAGTTATTGCACTTGTAACACAAAATATCCTATAATAGGCATGTATTTTTAAATTGCATACTATATACAATTACAAATCTCAATTTTTTTTGTACTAGGATTATAAGCTATGTTGAAAAATTTTTTAACAGTACAAAAATCTGAAGATTATCCAGTCAAAAGAGAGTTGTAACTTTAAATTAGAGACAGAATTGACTGATTTTTATATTATTTATTGAATTTAAATTTAATGTCATTACTGAACTAAAACCACGAATATATATTTTAAATATGTATTTGCTTCAACATCAGGTTTTCCTTTTCTCTTTCAGTCTGTGATCAAAACAGGGCGGCTGCTAATCAGTCATGAGGCTCCCTTGACAGGCGGCTTTGCGTCAGAGATCAGCTCTACAGTTCAGGTAGTAACTTGTTGGCACTGATTTTAACATTTGTGCAGTGGTACGTGCTTTATTCCAGAAGGAAAGGAACTACTTATCATAGTATATAAAAATGTGCACTTTTTAGAAGTGTACACTTTTCATTCTTACTGTTCTGTCCTTTAGTTAATGGTATAATTATTACATCTTCTAGAAAATAATTTTTAAATGTAAAAATAAGAAGGAGAAATCTTTTATGGGAAGAAGAAAGTTTGAAATGAGTTTAATAAAGTAATGTCTATTACATTTGCTGGGTGAACAAGAAAAGAAAACTCTTTTAAATTTCAACCAGATAATTCTCTTTTAATAAAGCTTAAGGTTGTTATGAAATGGGTTGATTGTGAAATTGACCTTAGATTTTTTCTTAGCCTTCACCTTCCAAAAGTGAATCCACCAGAAATCAGTAATTTAAATTTCAGTAAATAACTACGAAATAATTTATTAGTTTAATAATTAAATTGTTTTGTTATCAGCAGTGCTTTAGAAATGGTTTAAAATTTATTCCTTTTTAAAATGTTCCCTTAACATATCAGAAAAATACCCTATATACCTCTTTGAAGGATTTTTACTTAAAACTTTTATTCACATTTGTATCATAGATATGCATAACATAATTTAAAGGAGTTTTATTTTTCCTGATTTTTTAAACTAAAAACATTATTTTCAATGTGAAGTACATGCATTTTAAATACAGAATTTCTTACAGCTTGTAAATATTTTACTTCTCTTTACTGGTTTTAACATGTTTTAATTTTTAAGATAAAGTAGAGAATTCCTTTAAGAGTGTGTGGATTAATAACTTTATATGAAATTATGGTAGTCAAATAATGGTAAGAATTTATTTTTAAGATTTTAACAATGATTTTTACCAGTAAAATATTTTTAAGTGCTAATTATACAATTACATTTATTTTTAAATTAGATTAAGCAAATTTAAGCCTAAATGTTTCCAAAGCTAATTCAGAATTATCTACAATTGCATTCAATCAAAAAATTTTACTGTTACTTTTGTAGTATATAGAGTCACTGAAAAAATTAAGAAAAGCAAACATTTGTATATTGTAGATATTTGTTTTTCTGTTTATCTAATATTATTGAAATGCCACAGGTAACTGGTATTTATGTATACTTTATTCATTGAGTAGCATTATATGCTGAATTTGTAAAAAATGAGAGTTGCAAGAATGAAATCACTCTAATACCAAGATGTTATTTCAAGCCAGAGGCAAAACTGGAAAAAGAAACGAGATTTTCTGACTCTTAGTTAAGATGTGGTGTATTGAACCATTTAAAATCATAATGACGGTTGCTAATAGAAACTTTGACACCCCTGCTTGATTTTGGCCATTGACTGCTTATTGTTATATTTAAAGTTTCATTTGCATATAATTGTACAGGGAAAACCAGGAGGACACAGTTAGAATTAGAAATTATAACTTCTCTCGTGAAGTTTGCTTTCTCTAAGTATGCTTTTAAAATTTGATCTCCATAAATTATTGGTAGGCTGCCATAGACTATAATATATTTTTCAGACTGTAAAGGATTTGAATGATGATCTAATCTAGTGTCTCCTGGTTTTGAATAATATGTAGACTCATGTTTATGGAAAAATGTCTCTCAAGCCCCAAGAATATATCAGTGAATCCCTGTTTGAGAAACAGTGTATTGAGTTTAAACATAGTCAGCTAACACCAAAAATCATAAATAAAATATCAAAATTATATATTGAAACTAGTGACAATATTGGGGGTTGTCAGTGAGATTATCCAGAATATAATCGTATTTATACCATACAAAGATGCTATATCATGGCATTTTGCAATCCTCTTAGACCCCCAAGAAATCCTCAGATATCCACAGTCTGTAGTTGGAAAGATACTGATTTAAACCCGCTGTATTCCTTTTACAGATAAGTGTTTATCATCCAGAGTGCTTGTGACTTACCCGTTTTTATAAAGGCAGGGGAGATCTGGAAGTAGTACAGGAATCCTGAGTAAACATTAAGTGTGTGCATATGCATTCTTTATTCAAAGTCCACTGTCCCCCAAGAGGAAGATAGAAATTTTGGATTCATTATAAAGTGCAGTACTTTCCATGATAAAATTACTCAACCAGTGAACCAGAAAATGAATTAGGCAATACTGTAACATTTGTAGAGAGATCTGCATTTAATATTTTGAGTAATTAGAATTTTGATTTATTAATATGCGGGTGAATTTGAAAATGTACACAGTTGTTTTTTGTTTAATTCAGATTTTATTTGTACAAATAGAGAGTGTAGGAAATGAATTTTAATACATCTTAGTGAGCCTGATATGTGTGCCTTTTGTTTGTTGATAAGGATAATTAAAAAAAATAATCATTTGAAAAAATTTTAATTCTTTTTTAGTAATGTTTCTATATAATTTTGAGTGATCTGAATACTGAAATCTACTTTTCAGTAATTGTTTAATGCACATACTCAACTATATGCAATGTACCATATGCAGCATCTTCTCCATGGCCTTGTTCTGTATAATAACACTTGTATCAAATTACCAGTGCCTAGGATTGTTTAAACTGAAATCACATAAGTGTGAGGTGCAGTTGCTGTCACCACTTGGAATGATGGATATTTCTGTATTTCTTTTGGTCATGTATAACTGGTAAGATTAGAAAAGATAAAACAGGGCTAATATATTGAAAGCTAACTCTCTTAGATGGCAGGAAAAATGTACACAGAGAATGTATATTGTTGTCTTGGAAAAGGAGCTTAAAATTATGGATGAAAATGATATATAAATTTGAGTATGGTGGATTAAAATGTTGAGATATTCTTATTATACGAATGAGTCTAAATTTTATGTAGACATGAGTAAAAAATATTGTTTTTTTGTTTTGTTTTGCTCCACAGGCACTATTTTGTGAAAGAAATCTGATAGCTTTTCAAAAACCCCTGGTTAATCTTGCAAAGTTGCTCTTAAAATGACCTTTTAAAAGAACGATTATTAATGATAGAATTACTTTTTAAAAATACATTAATGTTTGAGAATGCCTGAAAATCCAAAATATTGTTTCATTGGAAATTTAAGTCTCTGCCCACATTTAAAAAATATTGCAGGGAATACAGCCCTACAGAGAATATCCATTTGAGTTTACAATTGGTATTTTTAGATAAAAAATTTACAAAGTGCTACCTAAAATTAAATATCAAAGGAACATTTTTATAGTGTTATTTTGTTATTAGCGTTACTATTATAGATTATTTTTAGCAATACAGATAAAATATGAAAAGAATGAATATAAAATGTAGTCATAATTTATTTACATAACTCTTTAATTTACAGCAGATGGCTCTTCCATCAGACAAGGAGTGCTGTGTCCACATCTTAAGTTTCTTCATACCGTAGCTTCTTTTTCATACAGTTCTTTCTTTATTTATTTTTTAAAATATTTTTTAGTTGTAGATGTACACAATAGTTTTATTTATTTATTTTTATGTGGTGCTGAGGATCAAACCCAGTGCCTCACGTGTGCTAGGCAATTGCTCTACCACTGAGCAGCCCTAGTTTTTTATTTTATTATTAAAAAAAATTGTTAACTATCTTAGCATTAGTGATAGTAAACTCACAAAATCAACTAGACTCTGTTGATAAGACAGAATTTTAAGTATATTTGTTAACAGTTTCTTTTAAACTTTGTCTTTAACTCTCTCTATGGAAATGAATGCTTACGAAAATTAAAAAAACAGGGCAATTGATCTAAGACTGATTTCCATTTCTATTGGGCTTAGTCTGGAAGACAGAACAAGCTGAAGTCTGGTATATTTGGCCCCCCTCTGGGAAAGATTTCTTGGTCAGTCATCCAAAGCTTCACTGTCTCTTCCCATCTAATTTTACATTCCCATCTGTTCTCACTTTGGATTGAGGGAACTTTTTCCTTCTTTTCTTTCTTTTAACACATCGAGAAAGTTGAATTCCTTCTTGAAGGTGTGCCTTGTGCACTCTGATTTGTGGAAAAGTGCAAAGACAACAGTGTGTACGTAATTCACTGACCTTGTCATTGTGTAGGTCGAGCAAAGTTTTCTTTATTTCAGATAATTACGTAAATTAATTTTATGTGATGCTTGTCTTCCTCAGCTTTATGCAACCACAGAGTTTTTTTTAAATGTCTTTCCTGTACAAAGGAAGCATCAACCTCATTAATTTTAATATTCCCTCAAACTAATTTATATTATATATTCTGGAATGCAATGTTCAACACAGGCGTTATTTATTTAAATGCTAAGACCAAATAATCTGTAGTATTTTAGCAGCTTTAAGTAGCCTAATTTCTTTAAGCATTGAAGAAACCAACCTTTATTATTAATTTTTGATGCATTCCTGTAATGATAAAATAAGCTTGACTCTGATAATAATTGTGTGATAATAAAAAATAGCTTATTTATTTTTCTTCTGGATTCAGTTCTTAATAAGAGTGCCAAAGATTTTAGGGATTGTGGTTGGCTTAAAGGTTTGCCTTTTTTTAAACACATGGAAGCAATAAGTCTGCAATAAAGAGTCCAGTTGGAGAGGATGGTAAGTTTCCATACCATTGTTTTATCCTTTCTGTGCGGTCTCTTTTCTGAGAATAAGGATTCAAAAATTGTGCATACCAACATATATTTCTTAAGGTAATCAGATTCTGATAGCTTGAAGGGATTTTTATTGGTCCTACATGAATCATTACATAAAAGGAAAGTTTCATAACTTTCAATGAAAGGAATTTTGCTTTTCTCACTGTTCATGTTAGAAATTTTTATTCAAAGGGAATTTTTTTTTCTTATAAACTTATTACTACCAAATGTATAGGCATCGATTTGAAGAAGAGGAGAAAAGGTCCTAAACGGTCTGGAGTCTTTACCGTTGTGAAAACATTTAAGATCACTGTGTTGATAAATGAAGAGTTTGGAGAGCGAACTGTAATAGCAGTAATTTGATGAAAATTTTACTGCAACTGTGTCC